AGATGTTTTTCTGGAACTCTCTGGCTTTCTCCATAATCTCCATAAGCGCATATTAGCAATTTGGTTTCTAGTCCCTCTGCCCCTTCAAAATCCAGCTTGTACTTCTGGGAGTTCTCGGTCAACATATTGCTGTGCCAATTTATTTTCTATACTTACTGAACTAGATGGAATTCAATAATTAAATTTTGATTCCAAAACTTAAATTTGATTCCAAAACTTAAAGTATGCATTCTAGGAAATAAAATATAATACTCAGATGTCTGCAAGAAGAAATATATGTTGCCAAGACGTAATCAGTTTCATTGTGAATTTTCTTAAGTGTTAAGATCACAGTGCTTTATGGATTACAAAAAAAACATGGATTGTCAACTGTGTTAATGTCAATCTCAACCTGAGGCAGCCTGCCATAACTACTGTAAAGTGAAGTGGATCTAACATTTCCTGCCAAAGAGCAAGAATGAAATATTTAGAAACCCAGAAGATTCCCCCATAATTCTACCAACTGAACTGTGCCATTAAATTTAGAAATTGTACACTGAACCATGTTGGCAGCCGGAGGAACTTGTAATCAAACTGGATGTGACAGCAGCCGCCATGTTTTTTTCTTGGAATAGTTCCTATATTTACATGTAAAGCAGGAGACTGGGCTGGGAGCCTGCTGTTTACATGAAAAGCAGTATGTTCATGATAGGAGCTGAATTCTTCCATATCTGACTAACCTGCATTACTTCAGACACTTTTCTCCCTTCCAAATGATTTCTTGTATTAAAGCCAACAGGAGTTGAGGGTAGAGTACTGGGCCAGTAAAAAAGAGCAGGGAGGTTGCTTTTATTTTTCTAAGCGAAAGGCACATGCTAACTTTTGCAAAAAAATACTTTCCTACTCCCAAGTACTGTTAGACTTGAATGAGGCAGACAAATTAAAAACCTTGTTGCTACTATCAAGTGAGTTTTCCCTTTAAGAGCTGAGGAAGCGGGGAACTCTGACACCTGATACAGAAATTCAATCTGCATGCATTGGAAGAAGCAGAAGTTCTTCAAACATTCTCATTTCTTCAAACAGTCATTTTTCAACGGTAATGCTTCTTCCTTTTTGAAATTACTGCAAACATACATATGCACACATAGAAGTAGTCCTATTGAACATAAAGGGATTTACTTCAAAGTAAACACCCAGAACCTGATGTCAAGAGCATCTTTTTCAAAGACAATTTTTTTCAAAGCTTTTCTTTGCAACAAGTATGAAAGTTTGGTGTGCATGCAGAATACAACATGTTTGACATGAGTTGCAGCTTCCATTCTGGTATCACACAAATTTGTGATGCATGCCAACAAATGCTATGCAATTGTGTTCAACTATAATATATTCGACTGTTCAAATAAGTTGTAAGTCTCCACTTCATCTCTGTTTTAAACCTGCCATTACACGCATGCCATCCCCAACTCATTTCTGATCCTCCGTTACCATAACTTTCATACTGCCTTCATTCTACAGTATATCACAGAAGTGAGTACAACCCCTCACATTTCATAAATATTTTAGTATACCTTTTCATGTGATAACACTGAAGAAATGACACTTAGCTACAATGTAGCAGTTCCCATAGGAACTAATGCAAAACCGGTTAATTCGTCCTCTCTACCACTAGAATTTTTTTTAAATCTAAGATTAGGTTTTTAAAAAGGGCAGGAAAGGAGGTAAGGGAGGGAACAAACACCTTTTAAACAGAACACCTTTAAAACTAAGCAGCTTTAAACCAAACCAAGCACCTTTTAAACCAATTTTTACATTTTAAAATCACAGTTCCAGGCAACACCAGGCAGTCCAAAGTCCATTTCCCGCTTTCCCCACTTTTTTTGTTCGTAAGTCAAAGCTCTGTTTGCAAGTCAAAGCAAAATTTTGCAAACAGAGCTGTTTGTAAGTCGAAATGTTTGTACGTTGGTGCGTTCATAAGTCAAGGCACCACTGTACTAAAATATTTATGAAATGTGAGGGGGTGTACTCACTTCTGTGATATACTGTAAGTCAAGAGTCAATTTGACACTGTTACATTATAAATATATCAGGACCCATTATGCCCACACATTACATGCATTTACTGCATTGAAAAGAAACCAGATAATGAAAGTAACCAGCAAACACCCTCCATTCATTTTGACAGTGCACGTGCAGAGCCTTCCACACTACTTCCATCAAAATGAACAGCAGAGAAAAATGCCATTCTGTTTCGTTTGCATGTGTACAATGTGGTCTTGCTAGACAATTTAACTTGCAGTACCTCATCAACTCAGAGTTTCTGATATCATTTATGACCTTGTGGTGGTAAACTAGGTCTACTGCAGAGTTGAAAGGATCCAAAGAATGCTGTAATCCAGCCTTTTGCCACTCCAGAAAATCTAAAGTGATGTATCCGTAACAGATGGGTTATACAGAATGTACAAAAACCTCAAATTAAAGAATGACTAACACCTTCTGAGGTAGTCAGGTTCCAGCAGTAAACAGTTTTTGCCATCTGACGTCCTTTCTAATGTTTGCTTGTATCAACCAGCATAAACTTTCTAGAAATGTTTGAAATTGACAGAAACATTACTTACTGGCTCTGTTAAAGTCATATCTTTCTCCAGGAACTGAACAACACAATAAGCCAACTAAAACAGAGGAGGAAAAGATTTATGGTTTTCTTGTTAACAATAATATTGCTTACATTTTTGGTATTTTCTTTCTTTTTTAAATTTTATTTATTAATAACACAAAACATAATGAGACATTATAAACATTACAAAAATACAAAACCTAAAAAAATCCTAGCAACACAAAACTTCACTACAGTTACTGTATATCTAAAGTCTCCCCCTTTTGGAATTGGAGATACAAACAATTCTCTTCCCTTCATGGAATCCCATTCCCTTCCAAAATTGAATTGACTCTCACAAAGGTATTCTTCCCTTCCTCTTTATTAACACATAATAATTCTCCCCAGATATCTATAAAAGTATACCTTCTTTACTTTAATATTATATGTTTGATTATCTATAATCACTGTATTCCATAATTCTTTATACTACATAATATTTTCAATAAGCAATTAAATAAGAGTGTGGATCCACATAAAGATATTAAACAGAGCAGGGGGGATTCTTATAAAAAACTAGTTGAAGTATTAAGTACAGTACTATGAACTGAGAGATGTTGGCTCAAGTTCAAGCTTTCTTCAGCCTTTACTGCATGGAGCAGAGGAAAATGAATCCAGCAGACATCCTTTTGAAGATGCCTTATTCTTATAAGGTAGTGTGGATATCCCACATTTAAATAAATAGAGGATTTCCTGGGTTGGCTACTCTCTCTTCGCTCAAAGAATATGACTTTATGCTATACAAACACAAAGAGTACTTGTTAGGAATAATCAGGGAAAGCAACACTGTGCAAAGGTATCCTGAAGTGAAGAACCTGAGCATCACAATTAACATGTTATTATTCATATTGGAATATGCATTTTAGTTATTTTCTATTCAAAGGATTTCCTGATATTGCTAAACCACCCCAGAACAACAGAATGCAAAACTGAACACAATCAGAGCAATTCAAATAATCTGAAACAATTTCAGTCACTTTAACAGTTAACAACATACAGCAAGCAGTCAAAATCCAACTATGTAGAAGGTATTTCCTACAGATCCAAATTTCTCTCAATGTGAATACTAACTCAAATCATATTCCCACAGTACAGAAAGGTGTTCAGAAAATAAACATACCCAACATTACAAGATCTTCAGTTCAACCATTCTGAATTTCCAGTGTTTTTACAAATCACTGTAAGAGCATTCTTGATGACTCTACACTTAAGTCACTCTATACTAAATTGTTATCCATTTGAGAATATAAACAGGTCCTGATAATGTTGCAAAAAATAAGTACAGTCCTGTATTGTGTAGCCAATCCATTTCTAAAGGATGAGCCTTGGGGTTACCATTGGCCTTGCTGCTTATACTATGTTTTTGTGCACTGTTCACTGTCAATGCCCTCATGTACCAATTCTTCCTGACTGAAAACAACATGCAAATTCTAGGCAAAATACTGCAAACATATGTAGGTATTATTCCTGTTTAGTGCATAACTTCTTTGATTCATGTATCAAGCAGCCTTGTCTCCCTGGTACATAATTTCTTCTAATACTGCATGTACAAGTCAACAATAATATATACTGTTACAGCAAATCAGATCTAGTATTTGATAGAAAATATATATAACCAATAGATAGAAACAATGTGATATTTCCTTTGTCAAACAGCATTTCTACTATCTGAAATATTTAAAAAAACCCTACAATAACTTTAAATTAAAATTGGCTAAATTCTGGGGGGAAAAATCAATCATACTTTGATAAAGCTTTAGAAACCCAAAACACAGAATAGTTCTGCAATTATAAGAAAATGACCTTCCCCAAAACAACATACCTGTGCATGAAATAAAGCTAATCCCTTTGCTGTGTGCATAGGAATAAGAACCTTCATAAGGAACTGTTTATGTTCAGCTTTCAGCGGCAATGCAAAGCCATTGATAATACTGGAAAAACCAAATTAGACATGAAAGCTTATTAATCTTAAGAGGCAACTATCAAAGGTTTAGCATAAGATCAACTCTTTAATGCATTATGTTATTTAACAAAATTTTGTGAGGTCTAGCAGTACTAGTCCTTTATAACTGACATGGCTATAATAGCTCCAAACAATCACTTCATTTCTCTCCAGCGCTGTAAAAGAAACTGTTACATTTTTAATTCTGCTACTGAATATGTTACAACAGAATAGTAAATCTTATGTGCTGCTTTTCAGGTCCACTACCCTATCTCTGAACTTAGTTACACATCCTACCAAACAAGTAAAAATGTGCTTGGCAATTTTAAAAATATTATGAAGAATAAACAGAGCCATTTCTGGTTCAATCCAGGCAATTCTGTAACCACTCCTGGCACAGCATGGAACTGAGGCATTAAAGTAATGCTGTATTAAAAAACTGAGAAGTAGTCTTGTTGCTTAGGTGTTCTAATAAGAACAAGGCAAAAACCCAACAAGAGACAATCTATTAAATCAGTTGCCCAGTATCAGGCCAACATAAATATAAATTGCATTGATTCGTGGATATACTGTAGTGCTAGATTGAGGATTTGATGTTTCCATAATGGGGAGAATTAATTATTACCCCATTTTCTGTGGTAATTTGGAGAATGTGTAATAATTTCTTACTTGTTAAAAGTGTTTTTCCTTTTTAAAATCCATTTAAAAAGTAATGTGCTAGCAACATATTATTAACAAGTAACAGCATTTAGTACTCTTAAATATGATTTTCTATGAAGGAAAGAGGACAGAAGAAACACCATACAGTGACACAAGGAGTAAGTCTGCTAAGGAGGATCCTTACGAGTAACCAAAAGTAATTAATTATGTGACGTTTGTGGACTACATTCAAAGTTATGCAGACTTCCATTTATACAGCAGGACTTTCTCTTCCCCTCCTCTCTCTGAAAGGCCCCAAATGTCTCTTCCTTCATGTAGAGCAGATCTGAGTAACGCATGGGGGCTGCAGGAAGAGCTGTGTCAGTTGATGAAAACAGTTGGAAACAACCTGTACTTCTTCCTTTACAGAAGAGCTCTCATTCAGGTACTGTAGTATGCAGAGACAAAGCTTCAAATCGCCCTTTTAATATTTTGAAGAAAATCTGTATGTTAAAGGTCTAACTTTCTTACACAATTATCTTGTTTTAAATGACCACAAAAAATCCTCTTTTTCAGAACCCTCGTGAATACTCCCTGTTGCAGCTGAGACAATATTTTTGCTGGGAGAGTGGCTTTGGTGCCTTGCCATCATATATGAAAGACCACAAAAAACATGAACAAACCTGTAAGGTTTGCTCTTCAAGCAGTCATCTATGCATCCACACTTACATGTCTGCACTTAAATGGTGCAGACACTTTGGAAAATTACACATAGTGAGGAATTTGGAGATAGCCCCACCCCTCTTACGTACAGCTGACATTCATACATTGACCCCACTCACTTAATATAAGAAGAGGTATGCTATTGGTGAACAATAACAGTAAGTTTCTGTATTCATCTTCAGCATGCAGCCTGTCATGTTAAAATCAGATTCGCATGCCACTTCTTTCTGTGTTTAAAGATCAGGAGCTGCTGCCTTCACACTCAGGGAACAAAATAAAAACAAGGCCCATCAATTCTTCAGAACATATCCCAAAGGGTTTGGTGCACCCCTCATACAAAAGAAGGGTAAAACACATTATTCTACTTAAGGAGCTAACTAGTGAAATAAACCTACCTTCCTAGTATTTCAAGTAACTCAGCAACACCGTTGAAATGTTCTGTTTCATATATAAACCTGTTCAGACACATTTACAGTTAATCAATGTACAAGTCACTGGGAAAAATAAGGTTAGTACAAAAAGGCTCCATAATATCGGTTTTTGTTTTTATTTTACCTAAATGTCGGATGGACAGTGCACCCCAATCCCACGAAAGATCCATCAAGACCAATGTGTTAAGCAAAGACTGAACTAAAAAGGTCACAAGATTATCACACGGCAGATTGCAAGTTTTTTTTCAACGAAAATAACATTGCCTTAACACTAGATATAGGCAATTCAGAAGGTTGGATGTAAGCCAAAATCCAAGACGTTTCAACCCACCATCAACAAAGTTTTAATCAATCTGGTATAAATTATTCCTCTCTGGTAATAAGGCCCAATCAACTCCCAAGATATTTTTAAAACCAGGGAGGAAAAAACAAACTAAATGTTAACATTAATAGAACTGTGTATCTTTGGATTCAATGTCATGGGCATGGGCACACACATTACACTCTCATTCTTTATCAAACATTGCATCATGGAAATTGCCCCAGTGCTGACACAGCAGTCCAATGTATTTTGGACAGCCTGAGAGAGGTATTAGTGTATGTGTGTGATCTTCATGGAGATGCACACTGTACCTTTTTATATGTACCTTTTTATTCTGAGGCCTGATCACCCAAGAATGAGGAGTAAATTTCACTTTGGTGCAAAGGTTTTAGAAACTATCTCCCAAGATGAAGCCATTTACTTTTGCACAATTAAACCCAAAGGGCTTATTAATAACCAGTTCTGTTCCTTGTAACCCATGTTTTTCCATCACTGCTTCTGTTTAGTTTTCCCTCCTTTCTTTTTGTTGTTGTTTAGTCATTAAGTCGTGTCCAACTCTTCGTGACCCCCATGGTGGACCAGAGCACGCCAGGCCCTCCTGTCTTCCTCTGCCTCCTGGAGTGTGGTCAAATTCATGTTGGTAGCTTCAATGACACTGTCCAACCGTCTCATCCTCGGTCGTCCCCTTTTCCTCTTGCCTTCACACTTTCACAACAGTGCACATGCTACTCTGAGATATATGAGGACAGAAATAACTGATTTAAAAAATCTCAGTGGACAAACTGCCAATATTTACTTCACCTTCAACAAAATCTGATTTTACAGACTAATAAAACATGTCATTAATATACTCTTAATACTTTAAAAAATTACATATTCAAAAGGACTAGTTTATATCTTTTATAAAGAACCATATATATTATACCTGAGAAAAATATTGTTGATTTGTTTTCTGATGAATGCTCTTAATCCAAGGAATTTGCCATAAATTCGATGAAGCACTGTTTTTAGAAAGTCACGCTCTCGTGGGTCTTCACTGTCAAAAAGCTCCAAAAGCTGTTAATAAAATGTTTCTTATTACATGAATTTCCAGTACATAAAGCACTAACTGGAATAAAAACAATTTCTGCCTGAATTCCCTCCACACCAATGATTGTACTAAAATTAAACATAGGATAGAAATAGCCATTTTACACACACACATGCAGAGTGACAGGATAGTAAAAGATATCTTGTTTATTAGTCAGAAAAACAACAGAAAAAGTAACCAGATATCATACTGGCCCATTGGGAAATATCTTTCTTAAGGGCAAGCAACACTATGGTTGTTCCTAGGAAAAGTACTGTATTACATATTTCCTTGCTGAGAAACAGATCAAAAACAGCATCAGCATGGCATAATCAGATCATAATCTAGTTCTGTACGTTGAGATTTATTATGTATACTTAAACCTTTGAAATGAATGGGCATAATGCAGAAACAAAGTAATTTACAAGCAAATGTTACTAGAAAAAGGGCCTAAGGTGTAATGGAGAGTGAAAAAACAAAATCACACTATTTTAGTGTGACTCAGATTTGACTAACTCACCATGAAATTGAACTAATGTTTCTACATTAGGTGAATTGCAGTTATGTACCTCAGAGTTCTGTTTCTCCATCTATAGAATGGTACACTAGCTTGAATCTTGAGTGCCTAGGAATGAAATGTTCCTCTATTTCCAGAAAATGCCTGCTGGCAAAAGTGGGGGAAGCAACTGTTACCTATTCTCATTCTATATCCAAACATTTGCTCTGGATGATGAAGGGATGTGTTCTAGAAAGCAAGTGTTCAAGGAAGATGTTGAATTTACTACAAAAAAAAACACCTTCCTCTTCCTTCCTCTAGTAAATTCTTTTGCAGGTTTGCAAGCATGCAGTGAAACTAAACAAGCCTTCTGTACACAGATGAATCCCAGTTATAATATTTAGTTTAAAGTAGTAGTAATATATTATACATTTCAGTCAACATTACCTGTTGTACGAATTTCTGGTCAATAAACCGTTTTGCAATGCTAGGTTGAAAATCAGGACTTTCTAAAAACCTCAGCAAAAATTCATACACCAGCTAAGAAAGAATAAGATGGAAACATGTTTAGAAAATATAGCTTTGCATGTATAGTCACACGTTTCAAAGAAGCAACCTTAGTATAGATAAAAGGCCTACCAGAAAAGTAGAAGTATGTTTCCATTAAGATTCTATGTGTTCATACTAACTCTTTAAATTTTAAATTGCTGATAACTTCAAGACATCACATATTTCCCCAGGCTCTACAAATATTTGGACATGTCCCCCTATGTAGCATCTTCCCCAACACACACTCAGTGCAACAATTACTGTTTTGTTTTGGGTTTAAGGTTCTGCTGGTTCTTAAAAACTGCATGGGGGGAATCCCTAGCATACACAACAACACTCTGCAAATTCCCCTCCTGCATGGCAAAGATACCCTTAAAGAAACTTTGGTGCCAATGGAAACTTTCGTTTCTAGCCTATTTTCCACAGAGCAGTTAGCAAAGCAAAAGCAAATGTACTGCTTATGTACGGCCCCGTATTGCTTAAAGCACTCTCTAGGAGGTTTACAATTTAATTATGCAGGCTACACACACACACCATGAGCTGTGTACACAACAAATGGAGAGACCTAGTCCTACTGGTATGGATCATAGGTTACATGAGTTTGTTACACTACTGTACCTGCATATTAAATTCCTACTTCTCCTGGAGTTCCCTAACAGTCATCATATAGGCAGGAGAATGGGAACTCCTAAATGAAGAAGATGTCTGCTTCTGTAATATTGGGTTTAGCCCTGTGAATCCATGACCAGCAAGTTCCTGGAACACACACCCCTGTTTTGGCCTCTTCTATCCACCCAGATACTTACTAGGAAGGCAAGGTGGGTAAGAGGAGAGTTCCCCATTCATGTTTATCCCATGAGTACAAGGAACGTAACCGATGGACTTCAGCATGGCTATGAATCGTACAGAAAAATAGGTTCCCATTGATGCCAACAGTGGGAGGTAGTCCTTCAGGAATCCTGTCACCACAAACTGGACCTTAACGATCTAAAACAGTACTTTGAACTGGACCTGGAAATGTATGGGGAGCTGACAGAGTGGCAAACAATAGGTATATTCAAATTAGTCAATCCCTGTTGATAGTGTTCTTGAACAAATTTGGGAGAAATTTTTTTTTGTACCACTATTCTCAGAGTGCCCCTAGTAGAATGACTGGTGCTGGCTGGGAGATTTAGGGAACTGTACTCCAAAAAAGCAACTTTTGCAACGGAACTAATGGTAGTCTGGAGTCTCTGAACCGTTTGCTAGGGCAGTCTCTGACCCAGAGCCTTGCACTGATCTAGTGATCATAATCAAGAGAACCACACTCTTTCTGAGTGTTTCTATGTTTTTGGCAGCAATTCCTCATGTCATATGAGACATCTCTTTCCACCCCTGAAATTTAGAAGTCTTCAAAACTAAGCTGGTGGTACAGAATGAGGAACTGCTGTATGCTGAACAAAAAGAAAGTAAAAAATAAAAAAAATCTCATTAAGCATATTATTAAAAGTGCACTTGTTCCTGCCACTATTTCCTGTGCAGCAATTACACTTCTAAAATGCTTCCAAGGGTGCCACTGAACATCTCCCCCTCCTTTCCCCCAGCAAGCTTCATTAACATAAGGAAGGACACAAAGAGGAGAGGTAACTGAGGAAGCCAAAGGAGAAGAAGAGAATGGAACATTTTTTTGTTGAAGCCCTGCTTCCACGGGCAGGCAAGCCAGATTTTCTTGAAGAAAAAGTTGTCCCCTTAGCTGAAGAAAATCTATTCACCCTAGTATGGAAGATGCAAGCAAAAGCTTAAAGGATATATGTAGGAAAAGATGGTCAGGTGTATCCAAGATAGTAAAAGCAAAGTCAGATTTGATAATAAGATAATTGGCAATTTTCTCAAGGCAGTTTAACTGAAGTACAGAGGACATATATTAAAGCAGTGGTCCCCAACCTTTTCCAAATTGCAAACTGATTGGGGGGGGTGGAGTTCGTGCATGGGGGGTGGGTCACCAATGTCTATGCATGAGTGGGCAGAGCACACACATGAGTGGGCGGGGCACACACATGAGTGGTCGGAGGGATGCACTGGTGGGCGGGTGAGCATTCGTACATGCATGCGGGGGGCATGGGGCACATGTGCGGGGGCACATGAGTGGGTGGAGCACCAGTGCACGCATGCATGGATGGGGGTGCAGCGCACCCGTGCGTACATGCATAGATGGGTGGGAGCGCCCGTGCATGCACAAGTTGGTGGGTGGGGATCCCGTGCACCCGGGGGCCCATGCATGCATGTGTGTTTGAATGAGGGGAGTACATGTGTCTGTGTGGGAGAAATCTGTGTCCGCAGCTCAGTCCCGCCAAGGCCACAGCCTGGTACTGGCCCGTGGACCAGGGGTTGGAGCCCCCAGTCTCAAAGAATCACAAAAGTGTGAGAAAATACAAAACAGCAAAAGAAAATTTCCAGCTGAAAGAAAGGAAGCCAGACAGAATTCTTAAGAAGAATCTTAAGCTATGTAACAGTTCAGAAGCGAGAGAGTTAAACCATAAGCAACAGCTAGATTCTTGTTGATTATTTATGTCAGATTTAAATACAGTGGCATAAATCATAGTGACAAACTGCCACCAGTTAACAAGATCCTGGCAACTCATTAACCAGTAGCAAGTAGCCACAAAGATTTATGCCACTGCACTTAACACCAGCATAAACAAGCAATGTAGTTTCTTAGGTTTAATGGGCACATATTACATTCCCAGAATAGCTGTTAGATGTTTTACTGTTAACATGAAATGTTCACACAGGAGCAGTCTGAAATTGGAACACAGACATTCCTAGTCAAAATACCTGTATATGAGGCCACGAAGCTTCTAATGTAGGTTCATCTTCCTCTGGATCAAAATCTGGATTTTCACTCGGTGGAAGTGTTCTGAAGATATTGGAGCTAATCTGGGGGAAAACAGTTCAGTTTTTAAAAGCTCTGCCACCCAGAGTAGACCTTTGGTCTAGATGGGCAGGGTATTAATCTAATAAAATATACAAATAAATTCAATTTACTTTAGTCTACTAAGATGTTCATGCACACACACAGCTACTTTACTCCACAGCCTGAATGTAAATGCTGCTTCACATATTTGTTTCAGTGCCTGATGCCAGTCTAATACAGTACCTCTCACCTCCGGCAGTCTTTCCCAATCTTTGTTACCCAAATCCTTCAGTCTAGGATCCTATACACTTACTTTTATTTTATTTTAAATATTTTACCCATTTTTCTCTTTTTCTTTAAATTTTATTTTTAAATTTCCAAAACAAAAACAAACACAAGAATACAAAATACTATTACAAATCTAAATCTCATTGCACCTCCATACCCATGGGATCCTATGGAGCAATACTTTTAATACGAACCTCTTTTCCAAAATTGTATTGATTGTTGTTTAGAGGCTTTCTCCTTTCCTTTCACTAATGTGAATTGAATAATTCTATCCCAAATAGCATAACAAATATTCGAACTTATTTCTCCTCATTTCATCTTTAGTTCAGTAGTCAATTTATCATTTAATGCAATGTCCCATACTTCGTTATACTAAACTTCTAATTTAATATCATTTTTATCTGTCCAGAATCTCGCTATTAATATTCTAGCACTTGTCATAAAATTGGAACTCAATTCCTTTAAGAAATAATGAAGTTCTATCTTATCAAAAGTTGACAGCAAAGCAATTTTTGAGTTTAATTCAATATATTTTCCAAATATTTGTCCAATCCTCTGTTTTAATTTCTGTCTTTATATCATCTTTCTAAATTGATTTCAAACCTTCTATTTCTGTCATTTTTTCCTCTTGTTCCAAAATTAGGTTATAAATAAATACTTACTACCTTCCTCAAAGCATCTTTCTGCATGTCTTCATGTGATGATAGGAACTGTTTGTACTTAGTACGTTCTCTACATTTGCCATTAGTTTTCATCCATTCATTTGTCCAACTATCTAACTATATATAATTATACCATGTTAATTTATTAGTTTGAAGTTTAACTATAATCTGATCCTTCAATCTCATTTTAGTCATCCAGTCCTTCAATCTGGCAACTTTTTTATCCTTAAACAAATCAGCTAAACCCTTCAGGTTTGCTGGGAAATTTTCGATTTTGGTCACTAATTTTAGTGGTGAAGTAAAGGGATGATTATAGAACTGTTAGCTAATGCAATAAGAAATGACAAATTAATGAAAGAATTAAGTAAAATTGATACAATTAAGATTAATTTATTTGCTGATGATTCATTATTGGCCATTAAAAGCCCATTAGAAGGTATGGATAAAATTAAAAATCATTTAGAAAAATTTGGGGAAATAACAGGATTAACTATTAACTGGCAAAAAACACAAATAATAATGTTTAATTATAATAAATATGAACAAGAAACATTTGTAAATAAATATGGTTTTTAAAATGTGTAATGATATTAAATAATTAGGTATAAATATAGTTAAAGCAACTCAAAATTAAAGGAGCAAAATTTTAATAAATTAAAAAGTGATATTAAAGATAAATTGCAGGAGTATTCTAAATTGAAACTATCGTGGTTTGGGAGAATCGCTATGATCAAAATGAAAATATTGCCAAAAATTACCTTTTTATTCAGAATGCTCCCAATACAATTAGAAGATTTTAAGTATTGGCAGGGATAAATTAATGGATTTTGTAATCAAGGTAAAAATCAAGAATAAAAGATGTTGGTATAAAGCTTAAACAAATGGAGGTTTAGGTACAGTGGTGCCTTGACTTAGGAACTTAATCCGTCCCAGATGTTTGTAAGTCAAAACGTTCATAAGTCAAATCAGCATTTTCCATTGAAATGCATAGAAACGGGATTAATCTATTCCAGCATTTCAAAAATATACCAAAATAAAAATAAAAATAAACAGAGCAAGTCCCACGCTTGGACTGGGAAAAAAATCATGAAAAACAAAACAACACCGAGTAAGTCACACTCTTGGACTGGAAAAAAAATCATGAAAAACAAAACAACACCGACCCTCAATCCCCCCCACCAACAAAACAAAAACTTTTTTAAAAAGCAGCACCTTCCAGTCTGAAGCCTACTCAGTCTCCTTGGCTTCCACTGCCGCTTGCCTCCCACTCGCTCCTCACCGCCCTCCATGGACTGATGCTGCCGCTGGTGCCTGACCACTCTTGGACTGGAAAAAAAATCATGAAAAACAAAACAACACCGACCCTCAATCCCCCCCACCAACAAAACAAAAACTTTTTTAAAAAGCAGCACCTTCCAGTCTGAAGCCTACTCAGTCTCCTTGGCTTCCACTGCCGCTTGCCTCCCACTCGCTCCTCACCGCCCTCCATGGACTGATGCTGCCGCTGGTGCCTGACCCTGGCTCCAGCTCTGGAACTGGCGGCTGCTCGCTGAGGTGGCCACGTCAGTCCTCATGGGGCGATGGCAGAAAATTCAAATAGTGGAGAGCGGTGAGGAGCACTGACAACTGATGCCGCCGCCCTGGCGAGGAGCTACTGGTGCCAGTTCCAGAGCTGGGGCCGGCGCTTGGGAGGCAAGCGGCCGAAGCACCCCAGCCAGGCTCAAGCCTCCCAACACTGTTCCACCGGTGCTTCTGCTGCAGCTGGGAGGCAAGTGCCCGAAGCACCCCGGCCAGACTCAAGCCTCCCGACGCTGGGCCACCACTGCCTCCACCACGGCCAGGAGGTGAGCGGTCAAAGCACTCTGGCCAGGCTCAAGCCTCCCCACGCTATTCCACTGCTGCCTCCACCATAGCCGTGGAGCCACCGCTGAGTCTGCCGCAGCCGTGAGACCAGAAGCCGCCTCTTCACCACCAACAGTTAGTACATTTAAATTTTATGCCCTTTTCCCCTGCCTTTTTTTGTTCATAAGTCAAACTCCATTCGCAAGTCAAAGCAAATTTTGCGAACGAAGCTATTCATAAGCCAAAATGCTTGTACATCAGGGTGTTTGTAAGTCAAAACACCTAGTTCCTAATATAAAAATATTCCTAATATTCCTAGTATAAAAAATTATTATAAAAACATCATACTCACGAACATTTCGACTTACGAACAGCTCCGTTCTCAAAATTTTGCTCTGACTTGCGAATGGAGCTTCGAATTACGAATGGAAAAAACCCGTGAGGGAAGCAGGGAAAGTGCAAAATTTGAACTTTCATTTAACAGTTGGCCAGTGAAGAGGCCGCTTGTCTGCTCATCCCTCGCTCGTCCCAGTGGTTAGAAAGTGGATACGCAGAGAGACTTCAGACTGCCTGGTACTGCCTGGTACTATACTGCCTGATACCGTACTGTACATACTGGGTTTTTTTAGCTTTAAATTTTTTTTATTTTTGGATTTTTTACTTTCTTTTTTAAAACAGAGAAACTGCCTGTTGTGGGTGACTACACTGTATTTACTGTACAGGGCTTTTGCAGCTTGGGGGGTAGGGCTAGGTGGTGTGGTTATGTTTCTGTGCTCTGATGGGTCTTTCGGTGTGCATTTAAAATATTAAAAGTAGACTAATATAAAATTAAAATTAAATGTGAAAATTAGACTGTACAGTAATTTTTAAAAGTAAAATTTATTTGTTTATTTTTGCATTCTGTGGCTTCTAGGGTTTGTGTAGTGCGACCTCTCCTTTGTTTTAAAATGTGTGGGTTTAAAATGTGGCTTCAAAGTCTGTCTGTTTTAAAATCAGAAAATATTCTGTGAGTGGCATGGTAGGGGCAGCTGTTTTGATGCAGGAAGATGGGGATGGAAAGTCCTCAGAGATGCCAAACCAACAAGAGTAAGCTGCAGAATACTGACTCTTTGAATTAAATTGAATTGAATTACTATATTGTTGGTTTTACTGTTTTGGTTATTCAACCACCACTAGCATTCCAATTAAAGCAAAAACACAAACAGAAGTATGTACATGTGCAGAGTGTTAGCTTAACACACATACTGCTAGCAAATTAAAAAGTACAAATGGAAATACATTCACAAAATACTGGAGTAAAAATAAAAAGTACAAACAAATTAAGATGTGCACACAATTTTAAACAAATTAAGTCATTTCAGTTAAACATACGGGTCTTTATAGAATTTCTTCTTGTATTTTGGGAAACTACTCCAAATCTTTCTACTCTATTTGTTATTGCTCTCTAATCATCAGAATGGTTGCTGGATTCTGTGGCTCCTAGGGTTTGTGTACTGTGGTGTGCTCAACAGTACTCATGGCTCCAAAGAAAGAGCAGAGCAAAGGGAAGAAGATCATCTCCATTGAAATGAAAAAGGTCATCATCAAAACGCATGAAGATGGCATGCGTGTGACTGAACTGGCTGCTGAATACAAGATGGCAAAGTCAACCATCTGCACCATGTTAAAGAAAGATGTCTTGAAAGACATTGATGTGGCAAAAGCAGTCACAATTCTAACAAAGCCCAGGCCACCCCTGATGGAAGAGGTGGAAAAACTTTTATTGGTGTGGATGAATGAGAAACAGCTGAAAGGGGAAAGCATCAGTGAAGCCAAGATCTGTGAAAAAGCAAAGAAGCTGCACAGTGATTTAATGGAAAGAAACCTCTTCGGAACTTCAGCACAAGAAGAATTCAAAGCCAGCAAGGGGTGGTTTCAAAAGTTCCAAAAGAGAAGTTTCATCCAAAGCATTGTAAGACATGGGGAGGCTGCAAGTTCTGACCATGATGCTGCAGAAACCTTCAAGTTGGACTTTGCCAAATTCATCAAGGAAGAAGACTACCTCCCCCAGCAAGTCTTCAACTGCAATGAGACAGGGCTGTTCTGGAAGAAGATGCCCAGGAGAACCTTGATCACTCAGGAGGAAGAGAAAATACCGGGCCACAAACCCATGAAGGACAGATTGACCCTTTTACTGTGTGCCAACGCCACTGGAGATCTGAAGATCAAGCCTCTGCTGGTGTACCACTCCC